TCATCCAGTTATGACCAGAACTTAACACTTCCGTACAGGACCCAAACTGGACGAGATTTCTTCAGAAACTAAAAAAGGGGAAGAAAATGTCTGTACATAATACCTACCCTATGAGTGAATATAATGACACCAAACCTTAAAAGGACTTCAATCCATTCTTATTCCTTCATCTTGTGTAATAACTTATGATAAAACTGAGGGGAAGGTTGAAAGATTACCAACTATGACAGACACCTCTTTAGGAGGACAAAAGTCTCAAGCTTTACAAATTAATATTTTTTCCATATAATAGACATAGAAATCATATAAGAGGCCAATCTGGGATGGTAAATACTAATGTTGGATGTGGATAAGTAAAAGGACCATGGATGGATGGTGAGATACAGTAGAACTGTTCATAGCAACTATATCCAAATGGAATAAAAAGCCTACTAAGAAAGTTAAGGGTTTTAAAAGAAGAATGTTATCAAATATATGTGAGATAGCAAGGATTGAATAATTCTAAAACCTTTTCAAGACAGCATAGGAATCCCTAGTTACAAGAGTTACTGATAATATATCTGTATCTCAAAATTGTGATTTTAAATCTATATTCCCATTGACTTCCATTATATAATTAGAGATGTGACAGCCAAGACATTTTAAGTACAGAAACCCTTTGGCAATCATAGGGTTCACCAACTGCAGATAACATCTATTTTATATACTGTACAGCATTTTACAACTGTTTTACTAACCATGGTACTGTATCAGTTTTAAGTACCCATAGGTTTTCAGCCACCACAGTTGATTTCAAGCCCAGTGCAGCAGAAACGTTTGCTGAATCAGGTCTATTAAATGGTTTGTTTGGTTCACTCCATCACTTTAAGTTCCATCTCTAACTTCTTTATTTTAACACTGAAGTACGAATGACACATTTGGGATCATCCAAAATACTTATGCTAGCATACGGACAATGTATTTTGTATCCGAGTTTTTATAAAAATTCACAAAAAATCAACGTTTTGCATCTGTTAGTGCACAATTTGGTGTAAACAAGTGCCAACCTTCCTAGCATGATTACTAACAATAACAGGTAAAAATTAAATATTTATTTTTGAAAAAAAAGTTGAATATTTAAAATATGTTTATAAATATTTATAGCGGCGATCAATAAACTCGCTTCATAATGATGATGTAGGAATCTCGTCCTTGGTCTTCACTCACTTCACCCTGTGTTTCTGACCACCTCCCCCCCCCCCCAAACACAAATCTAGTATTGTGGTCAATTACTGGAGCAGTAATAATGATTGTCAATAGCATAAATAGTAATAACATAGTATACTTTATACTGCCTACAAATGTGTTGTTTACTTCACACTATTGCGTCATACATACGCCAATTCACAAACATTTTCGACTCTTCCTAGCCCCTGCGTTGCCACCCTGTGGTAAGGACATATATTTATTTCCAGTTAATATCATGCATGGCCAATTTGTAAGACTAGAATTGCTTTTTATTTAATTTTTAAATATTCCAAATTATACCCATGTGGGGGAGGAAGGGGGAGGTGACGATCATAGCCCAAAGCCCAGGGGTTAATTGCAACCAGCCGACACTAGTAAAGGTGTTAATATCAATGCCAATTGTTAAGTGACATACACCCCACTTGGAAAGAAAAGAAACTGAAAATGAACCTTTTCACACTGTTCACTTGGAATTCAAAGGTCTTCATAATCTAAACGCACCAAGGAATTGAGTGAGATAGAGCATTAGATCATTTATAGTTGAGGTGGGCTTCAAAACAAAGTGAATCACCAAGAGTCAAAGAGTCCTGACCCAATGTCTCACTGGTACTCAAGAAAACTATCAAATCCAGGTTAAATTCTGGATTTGGTTAGGTAAGAAGTATTTATATTTTACCAAACATTGTCTGTAGATAGAGGGTCATCTTGCCACTAAGTAATGCATACACTTTGGGCAATGACAGTCTTTTCTTGGCACTTAACAGTCAGGTTACCCATGATGACTCACAGGCGATAAAACTACAATGTCATGAAAACTTAAACAGTGTGTCTAAGAAGTCTCTACCTGTTTTAAGACACAAGGAAAACAGGATAACTAAATATTTTAATATATATATATATATATATATATATATATATATATATATATATATATATATATATATATATATATATATATATATATATATATATATATATATATATATATATATATATATATATATATAGCTTTAAAAATGAGCAATAATGAGCATATCATCAGGGATAAAAACCTTCCAAATAGCTGGGCTGAGCATGGAGGTAATCAAGCTGCAGAAAGATATCTGGACCTGATGCTTCATAAATTCCTTGCATGAGATATCATAAAGTGCACAATATGGAAGCAACAGACCTGCAGGATTTGAAAAATAGTACTGCACTGTACTGTATTCAAGTTAATGCTGTGGAAATAACTTCAGAAATGTTGGAGAATGTTTTTGAGATATTTAGAGACATTGATGGTGTCCATATCATAGCTAATACTTGTACTGGATAGGAAGCTTTATGTACTAAATACATACATGTAGGGTTGAACTATTGGTCCTATTTTTCTTGAAATAGACAAAGAGACTTTCTGGACACCTTGTCCATAATCACTATTTCCTTCTACTAAACTTTGATTACTTACCACTAGGGTTAACCTTAAGAGAGTTCTTTATAGCATTTGTCATTAGTAAGACATCACCAAAAAGTTCATATTGGGCTCTCATGTGGATGTCCTCAAGTGCTTGTATTCCAAGGCTGGCAAATTCATTGAACCTGTAACATGTACATATATTATGGCAAAACCACTGGCAAACAATGTAATTCGTATATTCATTCTCTTCTCAAGTCATAAAAACATAATGATTCACACCATACAAAAGATAAAATGCAGTTAGCTATGGGGTAAAGGTTAAAGATATGCGTTCTGTGGATGCATTAAACAAAGCACCTGCATGTCAGGGAATATTGCACAATAATGTCAGAAAAAATAAAACAGTCACATTCATTTACCTACTAAAGAAAGACAAGAAATTTACATGAATGTATCTATGATTTATAAGAAATTCATTCTGGATAATAAGGCAAATTGGATGAAGTAAAAGAGGTACCTTCATCATGCACAGCCTACACATTCAGACCTTATTTAATTTGAAGTTCTTGGGGAAGTTCCAGAGATATAAAGCACACTGAATGATATTCTCAAATACTTTTTCTTGATAGGAATTGAAAAATATTGTGCAGTACAAGGAAATAAAAATTTTAAGTTTTCCATACTGCAAAACTGTACTGTACTATGGGATAAGTTACCCAAGATTCAAAATAAATGGTTTAAGTACAACTACATATACTACATTCATCTAGGAACACCCCAGTAGTCCACTGTAGGTACAAGTGCTGCTACACTACCCTGTAGTGAAGAAATGAAAAGTTAAAATGAGAAGCTTCCAAGTGCCAGCATCCAGCTAGCTGCAACAAAGGAACAACAATAAAGGTGGTTAATTTTGGCATTGTGTAAAACCCCTTGGCCAATATTGACCTGTACGGACCAGATACTCCAGAGAGGGGTATGGTACTTGTGGTTTTTGTGGAGCTATTACTTTTAAATTGAATAAAAATGCAAAATTTTTATCATGACTGATAAATTGCAAAATTTGAACAGGTCATATATTCACTGAAGCTGATCTGTCTGTCAGTTGTATGGAGAGTGCCAATCTAGATGACTGAAGATCTACAAGAGATGCAGGATTCAGGGTCCATAGGAAGAATCTGCTAGAATACAGACAGTAGGGCTGCACTCCACGTGTATCATGGGGTAAGAGAAGGGGCAGATGTATTGGTGGGGATGTTGTGAAAGGTTTACAGTAGCTACTAGAAGTAGCTTTCTATGTATATACAGTATAACCATATATGCCACCACCCTTCATGCATCCTTCCAGATTAAGGTAATTGAAGGAGTGAGCCCATTGCAAGCACCAATGAAGCTGGTCTGTAACAACACTACCTGCGCAGTTTGACATGGGGACTATGGTAACACTGTCCAGCACAATTCGGCATCATAGCAGGGCACTGGGTCCCTTCTCCTTTGGCGGCATTGTGGCTGTAAATGAATAAATTTTGAGGAGATCGCTTCGCTCTTTTGAATTAAGACTTCAGGATCTGAAGAAGCTGGAATGTAAACTCCTATAAAAATAAAATAAGCATATATTTGAATTATTGGGGCTCAAAGTAATACTGTACAACCAAGTCATAATTACAGTTTTCATCATAAGCAATTGGAATTTGCTTTAAGGATCCAATGGCCATTACTAAAAATTAGCTTACCTTAAAATGTTTCATTCTCTTCTAACAAAACAAACATTTAAAATAAGGGCAAAAAACTGGACACTGTACTTATGCATAAAATAAAGAGGGACAGATCCAGACATATAAAGTACGTATATACACTTGAACCCCTCTAATTCGGTACCTTTGGAATTTTGTCGAATTACTCAAAGAATCTGAATTTGGTTGGTGAATTCAGACATTTTGTTGAGATGGTGGGGGTTTAGCCTATCCAGTACTTTCAACTTGTCTACAATAGACAGGCTCGTATATTTTCCCATGTGGCTTTAACTGTATTTACAGGTACCCTGTACTACCATATTAGAATAATAAACCAAAATTATACAGTATTACCGCAAAATAACAACTACTGTACAGTATTTACATACACAAAATAGTAATGTTCTTCACAGCCTATATTTAACTGCCCCAGACCCATGTTTATCATTACTGTATTTCATGACATTAAAACAAAACAAAAAATATTTAATAAAATAAAATACGAGGTCTGATCCAAAAGTTCCCGGACTGCCTTCATAAAATCTTTATTTTTCAAGATATTACAGTGAAACTTTAGTCACCCTTAAAATATTCTTCAGAGGCCTAAATGCAGTGCTGAATCCCCTCCTCCCACTTCTGGAAGTAGATCTGGAAGTCCTTGTTGGTGAGGCTGGAGAACACCTTCTGTGATGTGTTCTGGATCTCCATTATGTCCAGGATCTTCTTCCCCTTGAGGTTCAACTTGAACTAAGGAAACAGCATGGCATCCCAGTGGTCCCCCACCCTCCATACTCTCCAGATCTGGTCCCCTGTGACTTCTGGCTGTTTCCTTAGTTCAAGTTGAACCTCAAGGGGAAGAAGATCCTGGACATAATGGAGATCCAGAACACATCACAGAAGGTGTTCTCCAGCCTCACCAACAAGGACTTCCAGATCTACTTCCAGAAGTGGGAGGAGGGGATTCAGCACTGCATTTAGGCCTCTGAAGAATAATTTAAGGGTGACTAAAGTTTCACTGTAATATCTTGAAAAATAAAGATTTTATGAAGACAGTCCGGGAACTTTCGGCACACCTCGTACCTGTAATAATAATAATAATAAACATTTAAAATATTAAGATACTGTATTTGAAAATAAATCTATGCATTATTAGTAACTAGAGCATTGTGTTCCATCTTTAGCACAGGTAGAGGCACTGAAACTAACGTAAACACACAAATATTCCCTCCAGCACATTTTATTAAAAATATATTAATACATACGTATAATACATTACCTTTTCAATAAAAACCCACCAGAGACACAGTACAGTAAACCCACCAGGGACACAGTACAGTAAACCCACCAGGGACACAGTACAGTAAACCCACCAGGGACACAGTACAGTAAACCCACCAGGGACACAGTACAGTAAACCCACCAGGGACACAGTACAGTAAATCATCGAAGGTCCAGACAATTAAAAAAAAAGGGGGTCCAGACTTGCCGATTATCTAGACTTTAACCAAGTATTTTGGGGGGTTCTGAGGGGCCACTGTGGACTAAGCAGCAACTCATTAGCTCCCCTCCCTCCCCCCAATGACCTTTAAATTTGTATGACCGAGGGTGTTTCATCTTTTTCAGAACGTTTAATTACATCAACTTTCACTTCCATTATAATTGTTTCCCTTTTTCTTAGATGCACTACTATCATTTGCCAGGTTTGCATTTGGGAGCCATGATGAGGGAAGAAAAATAGTTAATAAGCAAAAAACAACAGTTTGTATTTGATCACACACACAGGTTACTGAGGTGAGGGTAAGGCGTACTGATGCTCCCTCAAGGCGCGTGGTTGGGTGACGCATTATTCCCCACCTGTTGGTCCACCTCGCCGCTCTGCCAGGCAAACTAGTTCTCGTACATTAATACAATACATACTTCACTTTAACGAGTTTCACATTAACGATTCATCACAATAATGACAGTAATGATATGCGACATCTCAACACATTAACGATACATTTCAACACAATAACGATCAGTAGCGCAAGTTGATAGCCACTCTGGGCGGCCATCTTGATGATGTCAGCAAGCGGGGTGGTTTGTTTTGATCAGAGCGTGTCAACAGATAAGTGTGGTGTAACCTACTCACTTATCTGTGGCTGTTGCATAACCTCTCTACCTATGGTATGGTACTGTTGATAATAATGTTCAAGATTTACCAGAGTGTGAACTGTTAGATAATTTACCACTAGACTTCACTGGCTTTGAGACTGAAGGATCAGTTGGTGGTGGTGCTGGGGAAGCAGAGCAGTGTGGGAGTGTGGGGGCAGGAGGGCACTAACACCACTCCCCCGCCTCGGATAATAGCGGGTTCATTAAGCTGTTCAGTGAGTGTCTAAAGGTTAGTTATTAACTCTACATGCAGTATTAATATATGTGAATAAGTGGTTGCAATTTTTTGTGGGGTTTAAAGGAGTTACTATAGGGGGTGAAAGTGTCTGAGGGCTGGTATCAATTGACCCATTTAGCATGTAAACTATACTCACCACATTAATGGTTTTCACTTTAATGACCATTTTCGTAGTACCAATTAGTCGTTAAAGTGAAGTAGGGCCTCTACTACAAACTGGCTGTACCTATGTCGGATTCTTAAAATAATTGACCTTATGGAGCCTTGTTCGTATCGAAGGGTGTTCGTAAGTCGGATGTTCATACCCCAGGGAACTCCTGTATTTGTAGATTTAAAGTGGCATATATAGTGAATGAGGTTCTACTCTTCATGTAGCAACATACAGAAAGAATCTAGGGGTATGATAGGGAAGCCCAGGATAAAGAAGCTTACTGGTAGGGTTAGCCTACCACTAGTATGTATACTGGGTAGCTATCGCTCACCAAAAATGACCCACGGAAATGCATGAATTTTAATCACTCAAAAGTATTATGCATATATAGTTCAACACTTACTTTTTGTATAAAAATTTGTTCATAAAAATTCTAACTACTGTATAAGGTAAATAAGCCATCATAACATAATGTATTAATGTTTTTACACAATTTTAAGGTACAGGCACTTGGAAATATGTATTGGAAGTGTTAAAAAATAAAAAAAGACTTATGACAAGAAAAATTTGTGCTGGACCATGGAATTCCAGACCAGGGAGGTTCGACCTGTAGTGCACAATAACACCAACACCATTCTAGGCTATAACCTTACCTCAATTCTTGCTGTGACAAACGTCATTAGAATTTTATCCCTAACTGTTTGTATGAAGCCTGGATTAATTTTCAAGACCAGACCCTTTTTTACTGATGAACAGTGGGCAACCATTAACATGTAATATGTGAGAGAGTAGGGTAAATAATTACACCAATGTCTGTACTGTACTGTACTGTACGTATTGTGTTCATAAATTTTGGTCGGGTGGAAAAACAGAACAGACATGTGGCAAAGAGTACAGGATATAACTTATGCAACACAGTGGAACATAAAACAGAGCAAACATATAATAATAAATAATTTAACTCACATCCAAACATCTGGGTGGTAATATTAATGCACCAATCAAAGCAGAGAATAACTAACTCTGAAAATATCAATACAGGAAACTGATGAAAAATCCAGTAATTAGAGCAGGGTCTGTCCTCTTGAGAACTCAACTGTAATACTCTCAAGATATAATTAACTACCAAAAGGATATGTATCAGTGAAACAACAGCTGGAGACAGAAGAAGGTATCAATACTGAAAAGGTTTTGAAGAATATGCATGTTAGAACAGGAGTACTGTACTGTACACATAAGTGAAGAGAATGAAATATTTGGAGAAGATTCCTGTCTGGTTCAAGCTGAAGAAAATTACTTAAGATGTTCATAGGTGAAATACTTAGCATTATTATATAATAAAATATCTTACATACACTATGATACATTACATAATTCCTTATCTTAACTATAGTCTCAGTGTTCACTACATGACAGACTACCCTGTGTACACTACATAATACTGTACTATACCTTGTGTTCTTTATATCATAACATATCCAGTGTTCACAACACAATAAGACATATTGCATTTACTACATATAACATATATTGCATTCACTGTAGAACAATATAATATTCACTACATAACAACATACAAAACATTCACAATACAGTATAACATACCAACATAACTTGCATTCATTTCATAACAACAAACCTTGCATTCAGTACATAACAATACACCTTGCATTTACTAAATAATAACTTACCTTGCATTTATAAGAGCTCTGGCAACAACTAAAATCCTTCAGACAGCCACAAACCACTAAAACATTCTAGCATACAGTACAACCTCTACTCATCGGACTTCAATACTGTACACTGAAATTCGCTTTTTTTCTGACTCTCTGAGGTGCTCTGGACCAGCCCTCTATTCACCAGAAATATTTTTAAGTCTGAAAAATCCAACATCGGTCCGAATGGTTTGTATTTTTGCACGTGCATCTGAACGTGTACGTGGATGTCAGCAGCACACCTCTCGAGTTTGTCTGATTACTGCCGTCATACATATTGTATCAGTAACGCTGAGCCTCGCTATCTACACACATTTATGTGAACTTTCTATGTAGAGGACATACATGATGTCTGTAACAGGGATACTGTACTTGAGGGTAGAGCATGTAATTTAAAAAATGGGTAAAATTCTGTAGAATATCTCTTTCAAGAAATAGGGAAAAAAAAAAAAAAAAAAAAAAAAAGGAACCGCATTTGCTCACTGAATATTGTACTAAATAAGAGAGGTAAGACACTGCATTTGTAAACAGGCTGGGGGTGGCGAGGGGGGCCTGCCATTGGCACATTTGGCAGGATTAAGGAATTTATTGAATCAATATTTTATTCTTGTATGATCAGCCTTTTATGGTGTATGAGTCAGCATAATTAATAAAATATCTTCAATACAATACAGGTAACCCCCGAGATACAGGGCGGGTTCGCTCACTTAAGACAACTCAGGAGTGGACTTAAGTTTCCATGATCCCAGACACTAGTACATTTAACTTGCATTGTGCATATGATCTTAGCTAAGACAGATGACTTAAGTGTGCAAGCAGAATTAAGTTGCGGCAAAAGAGACTAAAAAATATGTTAGTACATCCAGGCCCTGGAGAAAGAGCTGTCAGCAAATCACCTTACAACAGGGTAATTTTAACATGCTGTATAGTATTTGATATGGAGGCACATTCCTAACAGCATTATTTATTACCTTTGAGTGATACAAGATGGTTTGATGTGGCTACTTGTACACTTAGACAACTGCTTAATGAATAAACCAAGGGATATGCTGATCCATAATACACTACAATATTATTAAGTGCTGATAAATACACTACAATATTATTAACTAAGTGTTGAGCGCCGTTAGTATGGTGAGGGAGGGCGAGGATTATCAGCTGTTTGTGCTTTGTAAACAACGACCACTTTAATATTTTGAGATGTCACACAAAATGCCCTTCCACTTCTGAGGACAATGGCAGAACCCATAGGAGACGAAGATGTCATTGGTTGGGCCTAGAGTGGGTGGACCTAATATTGCTCCACCACCATATAAAAGGTACAGTAATGTGGAAACCCTGAATCAGATATAGCATACCTGGCTCTTCTCCCATTACATCATGATGACTTTTGACATACCTGCACTGCACCACAAACATCATAGTCGACTCCTCTGGGCCTCCTATAACATACCGAGTAAAGCGGTGTCCACACTTGCAATATAACACGTGTTATTAACAATGTTATGTAACATGTTCGAAAATATTCAGTGAAATTTCATGTTATATAACAAAAAATCAAGGTTTATAACATGTTAGAGGCTATCTGTTTTAAGTCAGAAAGATCAAAAGATGTTACATAACTTGTTATATAACATGTTATAATTGTATCCAGACACAAGTTGTTCATAACCTTTTGTGTATACTTTCAGTTTGTATTAAAGTTGCAAAAAACAGTTGCATTAACATGAATACAAACATTTTACTATTAATAACTAAAACTGAGTTGGTTATGTCGATTGGAAAACAAAACAAAACAAAAATGTGATAAAAGTTTGTATTAAATTTGTAATAAAATGTTGTAATAAAATTTGTATAACAACCTAAAATATTTGTATTATCTTACCTTTAAATATTCAATTAAATTAAGGCATCACACACTTCCAGAACTATTTGAGAAATGTTCTGCTTTGAAACTTTAAATAAATACATGAGGCTATGATAGGAATCTCCAGTGGCTAAAATTCTTAAAGATATAGTCAATTGTTCTTTGACTGCAATAGCATCTCTAAAATTTGTCTATTTTACTAATTATGTGCCCAATTCCAGTAATCAATTGGTCAAAGTAAGAACTCGACATCCTCACAAAGTTTTAAGATTTCCATAGCATCATATTTCACCACTCAGGGGATCCACATTGTCACATTTCAAATCTTCCAAAAGATCTGTAACATTATAATGTCTTCTCAACCACAATGTGAGCTGTACCCAAAACCTTCTTTGTGCCTCATTTTTACAATTTCCAAGAAGCAAACAGCTGCCCCTGCGGCAATCATGATTTCCTCATTGCTCTACATTTCAGTATCGACTACTGCATGTTCATAACATTTAGGTAGTGTGGACATCATTGTTATATAACATTCTGTTATACAGTATACAGTAATAGTTTCTATAACTTGTAAGCAACATTGTTATATAACATGTTACCGAGTGTGGACGTGCCTTAAGGGGTTGTGAACTTTTCTGACATAACCAAGAATGCATCAAGCACCAAGCAGGCATTTTGTGAATATACTGGATGATGCAAAAGTCTGACAAATTTAATGTTATATTTACAAAAATATTTTCAATGTTTTGACATACTGGTACATCAATTCAAGTACAGTAATACTGTACTATATTAAAACTGATTAAAAAAAAAGTTACATCTTTATAACACTATCAAGTTTTTTTTAACCACTTTACAGTACTCTCTTAAAGCTCGCGGTTTTAAAGCTTGCGTCCTTCGGAAACTCACGGATTGCCATGGAAAATAAATAAAATATATCTGAGGCTGTATGCCAGGGATCAAGAGGGGTCAACACTACAGGAGAGTACAGAGCACCATATTTCCCAGGTCTTAAGATGCACCCTATAATTAGCAAGGTATATTTCTGAAAAAGAAAAATAAATAAATAAAAATGCAGATTTATTTGCCAACTGTACTGGCAAAGCGAAATCATTGGCTAAATGCTATCATGTTTCCCACTACCACAACTAACTATCACTGTGTGGACCTAATGTCCATACAGTGTTATTTCATGTTTGTTTATTTATTTATGTTATTTCATATTCATTATATTGTCTTATGCATACATAATGTTGTTATACATGTGCATATGGCTATTTATATATGTATTTTAAACACTCCTGGGACTGGCATGAAAAACTCACAGATTTTGCTTTCTCAAGGGGTCCATTTTACCTAGCCCAGCGAGCTTTAAGGGAATACTGCATTAACTATAATTCATTATGAACATGTTAAGTTCACAGAAATAATGTCTTCGGGTGTATGTACTTTGGATTAAATAACATATAATCTGCAGTCAGGCAAACTTTTCACAATCACTAACACGTAATAACTGCCTGTCTCTTATAGCTAAGGTCAACAAGCTTATACTCTACCACACTAGAAATAGGGTGACAGCACTATTGTAAAAATAGAATAAATAAATTAAATAAATATATTAATAAATACAAACTAAAAAATCATTACGGTATACTATTTTTTTTTACAAATATAGACCATCCAATGCACTAATTAGTCAAAGAAAGCTAAGTACCACTTAACACCATACCTTCCAGTCACTATATAACACCATACTTTCCATTCACCATATAACACCGTACCTTCCATTCACTACATAAACACCATACCTTCTATGCACCACATAACACCATACCTTCTACTCACCACATAACACCATACTTTCTATTCACCACATAACACCATACCTTCCATTCACCACATAACACCATACCTTCCATTCAACACATAACACCATACCTTCTATTCACCACATAACACCATACCTTCTATTCACCACACAACACCATACCTTCTATTCACCACATAACACCATACCTTCTATTCACCACATAACACCAGAACTTCCATTCACCACATAACACCATACCTTCCACTCACCACATAATATATCATACCCTGTACTCGTCATAATGTAAATTACATTCAATATACAGTTTATATAAATACAAATACATCCCAATAAAGAAACATGTCAATTGGCATGAAGGAAAGAATATGCACAAGTAAATACAGTAATCTCAGATGATTTTATTATTAATTAACTACCACACTATGTCTCTCTTCATACACTACACATATTTATGGAGAGAAAAAATAATTACCTGAACATAAGATTTTTTTCTTTGCATACCAAAACACACACACAAAAAAAAAAACACTTTGTGGTGTAAAAGAAAAAAGAAAAAAGCAAACGCACCTTGAGTAATGGAAGTGTGCAAGAGGCATGCTTATAGACATAAGTGGGGGCAGGTCATGCAGGCTTCGTTCAGCTGGCCTGTAATGATATACACACACACACACTAAGAATCATCAAGGAATCAATGTGCACAAGTAGCAGCCCATATGATATTAAATTATTTTTATCATGCTCATGCATCATCACAAAGTGCTCAGTTTAAAACAAATTATCAAACAATATCAAAATCATAATTTCAATAAATATAAAATAATAGTTAAAAAAAGTATTATTAAATTAGGACAACAGAAATGAAGGATTGTTTCTCAAATCCCATTTTATGGCCGAGCCCATGCTGAGCAACCTGTGTAGTGTAGCTTGAAGTCAAAGAGTTTAAAAGTATGAAGTTCAGGTAAACTCTTGAACAATAACAGCTAAGATTACTTCATCAATTACTTACACTGTACTATCATTTTCCATTACAGTGCAATTCCTTTTACTGAATATGAATTCCAACTCCCTGAATCTTCCAGGTATCACAACTTTTGTCCCCTTTGGTCCAGTTCAGCTAAAATTCTAATTTAGTCCAACAATCTGTACACAACCGAAGTCATTCGTTTGTGTAGCTGCCACCAGTGGCGCTGTAACCACTTTGTTTTTAAGTGTGCTAGGCTTTTTGGTTGGGGGAAGGTGTTGGCTCTAATTTCATGCTATGATAAACAATAAAATTGAAACAAAGCATGTCATAAAATACAATAGCACATACGTACTGTATTAAATGTACAGTTCACCTGGGCAGTCAATCAGGTGACTCCAAGAAATGCATGTGTGTGCCGTGACGTCACACCAGGTGGAGGGAGCGCAGGTTAGGTGGGTGAGTGGCGAGTCGGCGATGCAGTTACAGCCCAGTGCCTCCAAACATATGCTCACTTCACACAATACAGTACACACCCATGCTCTTCATTTGGCAGTCTATTGTCGTCCATGTGGGTAACATGGCCAGTTCAACGTAGTTGTTCATGAATAATGGTAGCCTCGATGCTCCTACAGTTGGTGTCAGCGAGAACACTGGCATTTCTTCTCTTGTCTTCCCAGCGAACTCGGAGGATGGAATGTAGACTACGTTGGTGAAAGTTTTCAAGTGCCTTGAGGTGCCTCCTGTTTGTGACACATGTCTCACTGCCATACAGCAAGGTTCGGAGGAGCACTGATCGACATACGTGCAGCTTTGTAGATAATTTCAGCTCCCTACAGCTGAAGACATGGGTACGAAGTCTGCCAAAGGCTTGAGATGCACATCTGATCTGACGTTGAATCTCTTCATCGATGTCCACAGTGGTGGACAGGTGGGAGCCAAGGTACCCTTAAACTGGATGGATGGTGGAGGTGGGGTTGAACCAGTGGCAGGCTGAAAGAGAATCTGAGTCTTACATGCATTCACCTCGAAGTCAAAGTGTGCATACGCATTTGCGTAGGCATTTAGGATCTCCTGTAGGTCGCGTTCACTGTGAGCGACGAGGGTGAGGACCTGCTGGGTAGTCAGGACATCCACATCAGTGTTTCAGCTGAGTAGCACACGGTAGTGTGCTTTCCAGAGTTGACAGATGCCTTCTTTGTCTTTAATTAGGGAGTGACCGTCAGATGAGCCTTCCCCTCCACCATCTCCTCCTCCCCACCTGGATTTATCAACATCCTCCCACCAACAATACAGTGCAAAGATTGATGACCAAGCCACAACTGATATACAAAAGTGACAATTTCAACTCCAAAGAAAGAAACAACAGTTAGTGACAATCAGTGCTCAGTGGTCAAAGGTGACCTGATGCAGACCTCACACACCCAGGGTCTGCAGTACACCAACACTGGATGAGAAACCAAGAAAGACTACAAACTACATCAGGAGAGAAATGAGGACTCCCTACTCCACCCAGGTGAGGAATTATGAATTCCTAACTACATCACATGAGGAAAAAGAGCATCTCCAACACCGTGTGTGAGCTGAAGGACCTACTCGGACCACGTGGTGGATGTGCTAAACATCTGCAGCTGTAGTGAGGGAGCGACCCTTAGCACCTAGGTACGATAGCCATCCAAAATGTAGGAAGGACTTTGTTGGCGCCAATATCAGGTCACAAGATTGTTAACAAGACCGGCTCCCACAGTACCAGTTGTATAGTTAATCTATATGTTGACTCTATGGTTCTTATCTCTTTGTACCGAAAGCTTTTGTCAATCAAGTGACCCACTTCCTGATTTCACCACATTTAACTAATCATCTCTGTTTATTGTATATTTTCAGCCTTTGGGCTGCCATGTTATCTTAATAAACTTTTTATTATTATTATGCACGCAGTCCATCAGTTGTCATTATTTTGAAGTCAAATTACAAATTATATATCGTATTTTTTCTATTGTTTAATATTTATATTATTAATGATGAATCATATACCATAAGAGGCTGATCATAAGAGAATATAATGAATGAATAGAAACAAATGTGAATGTGGCAACAAATTGTCCTCCCCCACCCACTGACAGAGAAGAAATTACCTTCTCATTCAGATTGTCATTTTATTTTAATTCAAATTATACTGTATATCACATTCTTCTATTATTTAATACTGTATTGTATCTTATATTTTTTAGAATGAAGCATACACCATAAGAGAATAATCGTACAAGAATACTGTATAATAATGAATAAATAAATACAATCTTGTGATCGTGGCAAGGGCCAATTCCCCCCCCCCCACAACCTCCAGCATGTTCACACTTCGTGTCATCTCGTACCTATTAGCTCTCGTTAGGTCTCTATCAAATCTGATTACACCACTGTACAGTATCCCCATTAAGGACCATCCAGTATATATTTTAACACTCTTGAGTTTAGGGAGGTGCTCTCTGGCAAGACACTCGGGGTCTGGGTGGATACAGGGGGTCCCCGGATTACAAACGAGTTCCGTTCTTGAGTACGTTCTTAAGACGGAAATGTATGCAAGTCGGAACACGTACCCTATTTGCATTAAATCATAGCCTAAGTAATTTTATATATCTCAAATCACTTAATTTAAGAGAAAAGAAGAAATTGGCTTGCATGTAGAAATGGGCATTTGTTGGAGTGACAGAGGCGTTATCGGGATGGTTAAACTGAAACTTTTTTCTTTTAATCATAAATTTCTCTGAAGCAGAATAGATATTCAGTAATACCTCTATGAATCTTGGTAAATCTTGCTGTGTTGGTATCTTGCTGTTGAAATTTAAACAATCTTTCTTTTGTAATGAATCACTTTGGTTCTGTAGTCTCAACTTCCTCTACCTACTCTGACAAAATTTACTTCTCCAGTTCAATCACTTCCTCATTGCTGATTTCTTCAGCATGAGACTCAAACAAATGTGTGATATCATCCGCAAGAATATCAAGCTGAAGTTGGTTCCCAATGTCTACCACTGTCTGTGTCACGTCCCCAGCATCATTTTCAAAGCCCCTGAAATTGTGGACAAACTGTAGGCAGTATTTTTTCCAAACACCTTTTGCCCTTACCTTGAACCGGTTAAACCAGCCCCTACTAGCAACAAAATCTTCCCCAACACTTTCACCACCACATTTAGCCTTCAAATCAGCATGCAAGCTTCTTATTTTTACCTGAATCAAGGCTAGACTTAAGAAAAATCCTGTTGATTTTGATCTTCCACCCATATCACTGACAATCTTTCCATTTCAATTATCAATCCAATTTTTTGTTTTGTTATCACATTATATAGTACATTTAATATACTACATACTCCCTTATGGGAAGTTGAGTGACAGGGATGAGGATATACAAGTGGTGGTGGGGTAGTTTCCATAAGCCATGTGTCCACCCATGAGGCTCAAGTGATTAGTATTTGTTTACTCCCCAACCCCTCAATTTTGATGGTATAAATCACAATTTTATGGCAAGATTCAAATGTTGTTGTTGTTTTTTTTCCATTTTCACCTGCCCTGTGGTTAATGACCACAAGTTGTCATAACCATCATTAAAGAGTTAAAACATACAGTAATAAGGATATAACCATCTTCAAACCCATAACCATCGGCATGTAAGACACTCTTTTACTTTTCTAAAGGGTCATGCATCTTATATGGAAAGAAATATGGTAACAAGGGATCCGGTTTCCCTCACCTCCCTAAAACTAATAATGGAGAGTACAGAAACGTATATCATTTACACACCACCCCAGCCCCATGTCCTCCAAGAACACAGAACCAGAATAGGCTTCACATTAAGATTAAGCAGCACAGGAAACCCTTCCCATTATTCACAACCTGTAATATCAACCTGAAGAAAAGCTCTAAGGGTTCATCCACACTGGGACTCGTGATGCGCATGGTGTTGCACTGGCTTGTTTTTCATGTTACGTGAGGCCCGTGCACACTGATTGGGCAAACGCTGGTGCGAAGTATTATTGAGACATGATGCGACAACTTGATGGCCACTCTTTACACCATATTTGTTTCTTTTTCTTTTGAATCTTCTTTGCACAGCATAGAGCCACCACACTCCACAAAACAGTCTCCTGTACCCGAGCATCCATACTGACTGTCTCTCTCTCTCTCTCTCTTGTGCTAGTCAATGACTGGTGTGGGTGTTGTAGGCAGTAGGCTGACAGTGTGGATGCTCTCCTTCCTTTGAATCACCATGCGCATCAAAAGTCCGCATCACGGCATGCGTCATGAGTTCCAGTGTGGCCAGACCTTAAGGATGCAATTCTTTTTCCTTTGTGTTGCCAACAAGTATCACCTCTTTATCTTTTAACATTAATATGTCTTGTTAATTCACCTCTTTTCAACTTTTTAAACACTTTTAAGTCTCTACACTACTTTAAAAGGTACAAGGTAACCAACTTTGGAAAGGACTTCCAGCCATGCACAAAATTGATCAGGAACTACCGTACTGCTTAAATCCCCAATGCCTACCTCATCATACTGTTAATGAGGTGAAGGTTATGGGTATTGTTAAAATTCTAACCCTATTAACTCTTTCGAGGGCAGAGTTGCACTTAAATATTTTATTCTGATTAACACCAGACAATTTTATTCAGCTGAGAGAAACCCCTACCACCTAAAGGGTTAATGACACTTCTCAATTCAATAACATTACACTTAAGATACCATGCAAACATCTTTTAAATGGGAGTAATGAACAAACTGTCATGAAATAGTAATCTCTCTAAACTCATTATTGAGCCATAAGATATAAGAATCACCAAATCACTTAACCCAATGGGTACCCTTCCTTAAAATAGGCTAATAGGCATGGAGCTGCAAATGACATCATAGTCATGTGAGGAGTACTTCATATTTGTGACTACACAAGGGGTATAATTATAATATCTATCAGAGGGTATATCATTGGCTAAACCTAACTTTATCCAAGCTATGCTCAATCATAACCTCATTTAATTCCCAAATATGTCTGGTTGACCAACAAGCCCCTTAAACCAGCAACCAGCATCTTGATTTCCTGAGGCCATTAGCCAGCTCTTATTAGGATTGATTGATAGTGTAGTAAGACTAAAAAAAAAAACCTTAATGAGGACTGAGGTACTGTAAAAGTAAGATTTCTATGTCACTAGGCATGGGTATAAAAAGTTAGCTACCACAGCATACTGACTACCAAAGACCTGGGAAGGTTGGTTAACACAGTAACCCATTTTACTAATTGATAAACAAAACCTTATTCTGTATAGCTAATAAAATCATCAGGAAATTAAATAATTCCTGCCCAAAATCCCTTCGGTGTCATTATTGAGATGAGACTCTATCCTTTTTGCAGTGGATACACTGTTCATGGAGGGCCAGCTTATGGATGTCTGCCCTCATGAGGTACGACTATGGAGTGAATAAAATATGGGGACTGAGCCAAAATAAGATAGCAGAGCTATAGTTATTAACATAAAGTATACCGACTGGTTAGATATGGCTACTATGAAGCATCCTTCTTCTAGAGGGAAACTGTTGCACCTGATCTCCCCAATTAGAGGTGATGGGTAGGTGGGTAATTCTCAATACAGTATACCTTATGGGTTAATAAATCATCTCTGGTTGTTAATTAGGGGGTGTCTGAGGACCTGACCTCCCTAGCTATAAGGCTGTACTGTGTTACATGAGAGTCACTTAAAGAAGGGTAAAAATCAGAAATTATGATGAAAACCTTGTTTTTTAAGATGACTATAATAAACAGTTTAAAGGGTTGGTAGTAACCTGGTATTACACATAGGTAATCAGCTCGGACATGCAGTGATGAAGATATCAATCTCATCATGGCCATGCAAAATCATATTAATAAACTCAAATGTTGGCAAATTATCAGGCTTTAGCTGGCAAGCAATGTATCAAACATACAACACTTCACAGTAACTGAAATATATTTTACTGTTACATGATAAACCTGCGAGTTAATTCAGTATCAGATGAGTTATTATTACTATCTCACATGATGGAAATCTGGTTCACCTGTCCTATGTATGAATATCAACAATTACTTACATGGCAAAGTATACAGCATGTAGGAGTTCTTTAAGAAGCTCTGAGGTAACAGGTATCCTAGGTGTAGGCCTTGGATAAAGGCCAAAACTGCTTTCACTACCATAAGATGATCGATGATGATGCCCAGGCCGGTTAAATCCCTGACATAGCATTCTAATATGAAAGGAAAAATATAATAAAAATATGATTAATTTTATCTGGAAACATAATTTAACAAAATCCACATGAAAAATCAAAGTATTAGTAGAATTTATCAAAGTGGTTAGCAATGGCAGTGGTCACTTAGCTATGAGAAAGAAAGAAATGAGCTATAAAGGCAAGTTTTGTAGTCATGAAGGAAAGGGAATGTGACCCACTAAGACACCCACATAGAAATCCTGCTGGAAGTTAACCAGCATAGTGTTGACCTCTTAAAGTAGTCTGAACCAAAAAGAATTCAAAGTAGGATACATGATGTATTTACAATTGTTCAAGAGATTTTAAACCTCAATTTATAAACCTAGCCTGAGCCTCTCCCACATTCTTGAACCATTTGCAGCAAGGTTGTGGATTTGTTAACTCGTATCCTTCTGACTTTGTTCTCCGTGGAACCCATCAACATGTATGGTGCACAAGTAGAAATTCTCAGTTGGTTTTCAACTTGCCTCATATTATTCTGTTGTAACATTGTACCTTATTGTTAATATTCTTTATTTTACGTTGGCTGCTGTACACTGCACCCATAAAGCAGTTATCAGGTGATAGTAATAGAATAACTGATTGACTCATAAACTGTGTTGGATTTGAACTTGCATACAGGTAGGTTGGTAGTCTTTGATTACCTCAGCAATTAGCAACACTGCCTTGAACAGCTATCTTGAAAGTTCTGCACACCATATAAAGTCCACTTCCTGCACTCTCCTTTTTAAATTTCCTGATCACTTTCTACAACTTTCATAACCTATCTTAACAGCTTCAGGCCCCTGTTAGTTTCCTCAACCGTATGTATTACCTTTTCCCTTTAGGTACTCCAAATCATATTCCTCAGCCAGTCAGGATAAAAATAAGTTATATCATACCTTATTTGCATTAATCAATTCAGTGAATGAATCATCTGATGAGTTTCAACATTTCTCCAACTCTTCAAGAGCTACCAGCATTGTCTTCTTCATCCAACTGCCTTTCAATCCTTAGGCATGGTCCCTGGGCTGCCTCTACTGCTTGTAGGCTCCCCTGTCCCATTCAAATTCCCCATTCAGCAGACAACTGTAGTACGTATTTTCTCAATATCAACAACCACATTTCTCTTACACTTGCCCTCCTACTACATCTTTGTTTCTATCCACCATTTACCTTGCTATTCTGTATATCTCATGTCTAGCATTCACACAATTAACCTTACCACAAATGCATCCTCTTCATGGTTCTTAGCTTTATATATCTCTCTTCTGCACCTGCACTTGACAACCAGGTGCTTTTCCTTATCATTAATTATCTATCTTTCAGGCCTTATACAATATTCTTTTCTCTTTTATCATCCTGTTCACTTCATCAATCCACTACCATGTTACTGTATGCTTCGCTGGGCCCTTCGTCCAGCCACACTTAACAGAATGATGATAATAATACTGTACTGTATACCTGCCTATGAAGATCACTTGTATCAGATGGGTAAATTGTTTAAATAATAGTTATGTACTGGGCAGGGACGTAAAATTTAGGTGGATTTGTCCATGCATGTTATTTCTTCCCTTGTAAAGAACAATGGTAGTTGGCAACTATCAAACAGGGAGGTACTCTGCCTGGGAAGATATTGGTAGTACCTGCAGCCATATGGCATCACAAAAATTTTGACCAAGTCCCAGGTTGTTGATCTGACTAACTTTCTGCCACATTTACACACAATTGCAGGGTTTCAATTGTTTCTCTTACTATGCCAACACATTATACATACATACATACAGGGTATATCATTTCTCATTCTTGATTAGCTTGATATTTTGTCCCACTTCTGCATTTATTTTTTGTTCAATCCCCCAGCTGTGATGTGGGTTGGTGACCAGTGCTCAGGTAGGCTAATACCCATAAAATAAATAAATAAATAAAGTATATATATATATATATATATATATATATATATATATATATATATATATATATATATATATATATATATATATATATATATATATATATATATATATATATATATATATATATATATATATATATATATATATATATATATATATATATATATATATAAGAACAATAAACAATTCATCAATCATTACTTGGACACAGCTTTGCAGAGGTGCATGAGTGCAATCTTGGGTAAAGTTGCTAGTCGAGCATTAAAGGCAACCATGATGGCAGTGGCCAAGTTATGCCTCGTTGCTGCAGTAACCGATGTCATCTGAGTTGGTGGGCCCCATCGTACTGTATCTGCATCTCCAGCTTCTAATCTTTGCAGGGAATCCGCAGTGTAAGAAGCTGGAGCTAAACTAGTAGGCTGTAAAGTAAAAGACTCAGTTAACTATGTTTAATAATTGTATTCTTTTACAATCATCATCATCATATCATCACTTTCTGGGGCTCAGAATGTTGCATAAGAAATATACATTAAAAGCAAAGATATACTGTAGCTACAGTAATACAACAGACCTTGTGCTAAGTATGCAAAGGCATCCCTTATACTTTACAAAAGAAATTTTATAACGAATAATATAATGTACAGTGAACAAGTTGTAAGTTTATAAAGTTTTTTCCTGCAGTGTTGCTGGACAGGTGCTGTTGTCCTTATATTTATGACTAGTATCCTTCTGTAGGATGCTAGCCCACTAAAGGGTCAACAGCACCCAACAGTGTACAGACAATTACGGTACACTTACCACTTGGTTCGATGGATTTCAAAATGAACACTACCTATTCTATCATTTCAACAAGGTTGGTAAGCATGCTTGCTATGTCATTTTCCTTTTCCTTGTGTTTTGAAAAATTCTAATCACATTTCAAAACATATGATTACACAGAAAGGAAATTGTATTATGACAAGTGATAAGAAGAGCATCACTGGTAGCCCCACATATTCCCATTGTAAGGAAAGCAGGGCTACCAATGTGAAGCCAGATGTGAGAGCTTTGTTCAAGAAATTTCGCCAGTTTGTCATATTGTTCGACACTGAAGGAGTACTGGTAATTGAAATTTATGATGTGACAGCAATGTATGACCCTAACAACCTTTCAAGATAGCCTAAATTCAACCAAACCTATCAAAAAGAACACTCTTGTATATCATATGAACTATTTACCATTAGCCCTATAAGGATGACGGCAACGATTTCATTACACTAAAGATACGTGGCTTCCAAGCGCATAATAGAGAGAATATGGAATTGCCGACAAGTGTGCCGATTTTGTTACACTCTACTGAGAATACTTAAGGAGCGGCATCACCTCTGGCTGGCAGTTTCTGGCATCTATACTTTCATGTTTAGCAGAAAGCAGCTGGTGGGAGACAGAGTAACATTGCTGTGTGTCTGAAGACCCATATCTACTGTTACAGATAATTGTTATGCTTTGTTAAATTGCAGTCATTAGGCAGTATCCCACTGATTGTATAAGTGTGAAAAACAGGCATAATATGCATGAAATAAATATCTTTATCAGTGGTTGTTCAAGCGTGGAATTTTTACCCAGAATGAAGAGCATGATGCCAATCCATGAGATAGTGAGTCTGAAGGTGAATGTCCCAATTATGGTGAGTATTTTACTTATGTTTATACAGTATACTTTTTTTTGGTGATGCTAATAATTTCTACATTAGTCAGAGCTAATGTTTTTACCACAGCTTATTATTATTATTTATTCTCTCATTATAGAGAGTGATTTTAAGCCCGATGAGGAAGAACTGTCAGCAAAGGCAAATTTGATTGATGAACCAGACTAACCAGAACCCAGACCACGGCTTTCAAATACACCTTAAGAGCACAGGAAGGTGTCCCAGCCAAGAAAATAAAGAGAAGTGCCTCTATGGCATCAACTGGGAAGCATGACTATTGCGTTAGACATATTCTGCAACTGCTCCGTTATATTTTTTCACAGACCTAAAGTACAGTAGATTTTCCATACTTTGTTTTTGCTGAATATCTTAGTGGAGTTATCAGGGTACTGCCCCAAGGTGGTGTAGACCTCTCGCCCATTAGTGTTGGCTGTACCATGGCATACCGGTACTGCATCTGCTTGCTTGCAGTGTGCCACGCTGGTGGACACTGACACAATGTTATTGATAAAGAAGACAAGGATGGCCCTCCCATGCATATTGACAGTGATAAAAGTGAATATGGTGACTTGATCAGTGATTGTGTGACTCTTGGGGATAATTGAGTGTTGAGGATGAGGAATATACTGACAGTGGCAGTACAGTAGCGGGGTATAGCTTCCACAAGACACGTGTCCACCCATGAGGCTCCCAAGCCACGTGTCCACCCATGAGGCTCCCAAGCCACGTGTCCACCCATGAGGCTCCCAAGCCACGTGTCCACCCATGAGACTCCCAAGCCACGTGTCCACCCATGAGGCTCCCAAGCCACGTGTCCACCCATGAGGCTCCCAGTCCACGTGTCCACCCATGAGGCTCCCACATGGGATTGGGGTAATTCTTTGTTTTCTGCTCCAACTCCTGAACTTTGAGAGTGTTAAACAGGAGTTTATGGTAGGATTAAAATATTTTTTAAATTCTTTTCAAATTTTTTATATTTACCAATCCAGTGGATAATTCCCACAGGATACTACCACCATCCTCAAAGGGTGAAATGAAACCTCACAGCAAAATTACAATACCTGAGCAGGAAAGGATGAAAAATACAAAAATTTAATAGGAAAAAAATATTAGCAGTAGGAAAAAATTACAAAAACAAGCATAATCTACCTCATGAAAGACTGACTGTCGTGCGAGGGTAGGAAGGCGGAATGGAGCAATCCTTGGCTGTCCCTGCTCATCCAACACCTCCATATTGTGCAAGGTCAGGAGAGCAACTTCAACACTTCCAACACCCTAAAATGTATAAGGTTTCATAAGATATAGAGATACTGTATACTTAAATACAACAGATGTTTGGCAATAACGGTTGCTATATGCTATACACTGCCATGCCGCAACAAAGTCCACAGGGACTTAATCTCTTGAATAAGGTGAGCAAATATCAATTATTGAAAATATTGAACTACTGAAATTTAGTTAAACCTAATATCAATTGTTCAGTTAATTCATTACTTCCCAACTATACAAGATTCTTTGATATGACTAGTTGAGTCTTCATTACCAATAAAACACATACTGTATACATCTCAATATTGATCAGCTCAGTCACAAAACAACAAAGGCAGATCAACCACATCAGTTACAGCTAACTAAGCTACCCAAATTTCTCGTCCAGAGCCAGTTTCAAGTGATTCATGTACACCTATACTGGCTAGAGAAGGGAGGGAGGAGGCACGAATAAACCACAAATGCTTGTGTAGCATTGGAGAGCCACAGTCCAGTCCTTCACTATTTAAGTCAGAGAACAGTGTACCTTGTACATCCTAGTACAGTGCACCAAGGAGTGCACAAGAGGACATACCTAATACAGTAGGTCTTCATGTAATACAGTACAGTACTGTACTGCTCTGGCATTGGTGGAATGCTCTGATATCCCACTGGTTTTATTACCTTTTTTTCATGTGTATTAGGGCGAGTATTGAGGTGGTGGGGAGAGGGGTGAGTACTGAGGTGATGTGGGAGTGACAATGGTGGTGGTGTGTCAGGGGTGATTGTGGTGGTATGTGAAGTGGCTGTTGTAATATAATGATAACAATGTTAATAATAATGTGCTTGTGAGTGTGTAAGGATTGAATACTTATGCATCAAGAATTGGAGGGAAACATTTTCACGAAAATGGGCAACTTGGGATGGCTCACAGTACATTTTCTCTAATTTAACTGTACAAACAATGCTCATTTATCAGTTTTATCCCCTTATAGTCATTAGTATCGTAAATAAAGTATACGTTGCAAATATTCACTGAGAAATAAGAAATAAAAGAGAGACAAAAACAGTAACCATAATAAGGTATTATATTGTAAAATAACTTAGAACTCAAACATTATTAGCCTTTACAGTACAGGTGAAATATGAAAAATATAATCAGGGGTTTAGGGCCGCAGCAGCCCCTTGAAACAGAGAGGTTAGGCACAATAAAAGTAGCACAGTAGACCCTCAATAAGGGACTTCTCAAAAAGGGATATTCCCAATAAGGAACGTCTTTTTGTTCAGCACAATTAGCAGACTCAGCCAATAAGATCCAGTAATGGGAACAATGTCAACTATTGATCAGGTGTACTGTCCTTATGACCCAAAACAAACACAACAGTGATGGTACTGATGGTAGTAATGTAATGCAAAAAGAAAACAAAGTACCGGTACAGTTATCCCTCGAGATATGAATGGATTAGTTTCCCCCAAAAATATTCATTAGAATGAATTTTTGTATCTCGAATAGAAAAACATATGGAAAAATGGGGTTTGGTTCTCCAATGATAAAAATACTCCAATATTATACTCCCAAAACATGAAGTCAGTTCACAAACAAGAAAAACTTCCCTAACTAATGATATATAATACTGCACACAACTACAGTAAGTTACTACCTAACACATTAAAAACATTAATAAAATACTATCTATATGAAAATATGCAGCTAAAACTATTAAGGAAAAACTAAATCAAAGTTTCAGACAGCTGCCAGCAGTGCCATTTTCATAGATGCTAGCTGCTTCACACGGGGCTGTATACATATGGTAATGAAAACATCAACAATTACACAGTAAATATAACAAGGCCAGTAAAATAGTCACATATTGCCACTCACCATAAATTCAAAACATTAATAAAAAAAAGGACCATGTGGTAAAAATACCTCAAACAAAGGATAGAAATAAAGACTTAGCCTCAGAAAGACAAGCATGGAATGTAAAATATGAAGAAACTTTAAGTCACATTTTATGGTTTCAAGATGTGTGAACTGAACTTTGGGTTTCACATCCAGTCTGGTAGCTTTCCAAACAACCCCCAGATCACGAACAATGGCTCTCCAGGTGAGCAGCTGTATAGCAGCAATTTGTACTGATCACTAAAGACACAAAAGTCTATCTCTGCGGCATAAATCTCTTGGACAAGACAGGTACTCATGGGTCACTTGTCAAATTACTGTAGCTGTAGACCTTCATTTTTGGTTTTATTCAATTACTGAAATACATATAAGGCAAAGCTCATTAAGTACCTTTTTATCGCCAAAGCTGATGGATGACAAGTATATGTAGAGGAGACTCGGAGCAAACAAGAGCACAAATTCCCGTAGCCGTTCATCTTTACTGCGTGCCAGGGCAAACAGCTGTTTCACCGTGCTTTCAAACAGATCTGGGCACCTAAATGAAAGGATAAAAATTTATGAGTCAAGAAAAGTCTCATCTTAGAAAATAATACAGTAATGTTTAAAGAATTTATACATCTGTTATCCATATCCTACACACAGGCAAAAATCACAATATCTAAAATAGAAGACATGTTGTAGAGACCATGACAAGTAAAGGACATACAATACAGTATTAAATGAATTCTATGTTAATATCAAGAATCTGGCATAAAGTCAATACATATTGTACAGTAGCTAAAACAATTATCTGTGCAATTGGGGGTCAATATGCTCCGAAATTTTACGTGAGACTCGTGACAGCCCTCGTATACCAAAATTTATCGTCCATGGTCTCGTATTGCTTCCCACAAAGTATGCACAGATACAGTAGTTGTTTTAGCTACTGTACATTTAGTTTTATAGAGAGCATATTTTTTTAATAAATGCAAGACATCCTTCCAGGCCCAACACTGGTCATAATATAGAATATAAGTTGTATGTAGAGTAAGCCCTCAATTTCCACTGGGGTTCAGTTCCTGGATATAGAATACAAGTATACAGAAACACAAGTTGTTAACTTAGCGGAAAGTGGAATGTAATTTTGGGCACTAAATTTCTGCTGTTAACTCATATCACTAAAGTTAAAAATATGAAATAAAAACTAATCCATTACAGTAAGAGTTTTGAACTAGTGATCACCATAAGAGAACTGTAAAGATACCTTAACACCCTTGAGAGAGGTTCCTGGTGTGCTTAGTCTGGTGCAGTACACTACAGTACAGTATTGTTGAAAAACAGGAGGTATAGAAACACCTTCATTTTCCTTCAGTTTCTTGATTGTGTACCTGGTGGACTCATTCACCCTCAACGTACACACCACTCATGTTACTACTTCCCCACTAGCAAGCCATTTCAATTTCTATTTTGGTTTCAAACTGAGGCCTTTCTCATATTCCTGCTAATTGTAGTATCATCAGAGTTACATGGTGCTTGTAAGCCATTATACTAAAAATGCCTATTGCATAGAAGGAATAAGCACAGCACATAAGTTACACCACAAAGGAGAACATACACATACACTCACAGACCCTGCAAACATCCCTCAACTCTCTCCCTCTCCTCAAGAAGTTGATGGGCTCCGTCATATTCAAAACTGCCAAGTTTCAAAAGAAATAACTTTGTTAAGTGATCACACAATGTGTTGGTTGTTTATGGCAATTTGACTTTAATAAGTAGTTGGTAAAAATAATTGTTACTAAAAAAAAAAAAAAAAAAAAAAAAAAGAGGAAGAGGGCTTGAAAATACACCTCAACCCCTTCACTATGGGGACACTACTTTTGTATTTTATTTGGCTAATGCCAGACAACTTTATTCAGTCCAGAGAGGACCCCTTACACAAGGGATTAATATAACAGCAACCATTATTCTACATACAGTACTGTACCTTTTTCTCAATAACCAGCAAAAAAGAGATAACTAATTTGATTCAAATGCTCTACAAAAGGCATCTGTCCACTACAAAGGCAAGTACAGTAGTGGTGTGAAGTAAGATGACCCCATTGGGTGAACTGAATAAAAGTCCCAGTTTCTATAACTTGGGCATTGATTGAGTGAAATACAGTAACATCTCCATTAGCTGGAACTATCCAATACCCACAAATGAAATTGGCTCAGAATTTTTCCAGAAAAATTCTCTCAATTCCGGGTCTGGGAGCGAGTTTCCGTGGTTGAAACTCAGGCGCATTTTCTGAGGAAACTCCGAGAAGGTTCTGAGAAATTCTCTCCGTTCTGGGCCTGGAAATAAATTTTCCAGGAGTTCTGAGGGATTGCATCATGCTCCAACTCATCCCCACGTGCCACGCACATTGGTGGCCAAGCTGCTTGGATCACTTAGTTAATATTCTGCTGCCATTGTGGAAGGTTATTCCCTCGCTAGCTGCTATTTTTGCATACAATTTGTGTTGTGCAGTGCTGTACATTACTGTGCAGTAAGTCTTTGATTAACGTTGTGGTTCCGTTCCTGAAAACCGCGACGTTAACGGAATCAATTTTCTCCATAAGAAATAGATAAAATACGGGAGGTACGTTCCCCAGCCTCCCTTTGCCCCATAAAATACATTACATATATATTACTGTAATTGGAAAATACTGAGCTGACACTGGCATCTGGGACCATTCCATACTGAACCTGGCCAATATGCAGCGTATTCTTGACCTTTGACTTGTGTAGCAATGTTTCTAAAACATAGGTATCATATATTCAGACAAATTAAGCAAATTGTATATGGTTATTATCAAATTGAGGGAAAAGCTTAAATCTCACAGTACAGTACAGTATTGTATGCCAATAAACATTTGGTTCAGATACACCAATGTCCATCACTTCTCTCTCTACAAAAAGAAGTACAGTACCTGTATGCATGGCTTTTAAGCCAATGTCCTTCTCACTGTGAAGGGACGACTTGGTACAAGAATAGTAGAGTACATTATATACAGTACAGTACAGAGATAAACAATACAGGTATTGGAAGTAGTCCACAAGGGGTCACAGCTCAAGATTGAAGAAACCGCAGGTCCAGAAAACTGTGAGGGCAAACTTTTGAGTGAAAGTTGTGAACTCTTGGAACAATCTGCCAGAAAGTGTTGTGATGGCACCGAGTGTGAGCTCTTTCAAGACCAGACTTGACCAACACTGGAGCAGGTTCAGGTACATTCAGGAGCGGTTGCATGCCCAGTACTTGCCAACAGTGCGTAACAGAGGCGTGACCGATCGCCCAAGCGGCTAACGAGCCAATCAGTGGTGAAGAGGGTAAAAGTAAAAAGTAATACTGTATCTAATTTGGTGTACAAATAAGTGGCCTGTAACTTCTGTAAGTAATCAAAACTGTCATAGTTACAGGAACCTAACCTTACAGTTCACTTGGTCTGCAGTGTATCACCGCTGATATCCAAGACCAAAATTATTATACAGGTAGAGTATAAGACAAATACTGTACACACACCTTGATCTTTCATCAAAAAGAGTGTATATAGCATGGATTAGCCTCTCTTGATCACTTTGTAAACACTCATATATTTGTCTGCAGTCAGTGACACCATCACAATCTCCCAGCCAATCCTCCAAGACACCAACCAGTCCATCCATTGTAGCATACAAAGGAGTTTCTGAAACAGAAGCAAAACATTTCCTTTTGAATATCACAATATTAATAATACTGGATCTAGAACAAATAATTATTATACTGTATTTACTAAATCCTCGTTAATTTGACATTGTTGGGGCTCTGGGTCAATTACAGCACTGTAGTAGAGTAATATAGTAGGACTTTTAAGATTTTGAAATATACTGTAAAATCATAAATTACCTCAATTATGAAATTTTCTAACATTAAAGCTCTGTAAAAAGTTTAAAATTGTCTTTATATACACTACAGTACCGCATAATGGTTGTGTTCAATGGAAAATGACGGTTCCTAAAAAACATATTTTCACTAAATTTGAAAAACTTCAAATCACACATTCTGTACAGTACCTGTACTAATCTTAAACATTCTAGACCTTTTATGCAAGACAATATCTGTATTATTTTAAGTTCAGTTAAGTTAAATTAGGTTTATATTTTGAGTTGCTTCCAATACAAGATATCATTAGTGTATAGTGTTTTCAGATAATTTACATTTATTTTCATTCAATAACAGTTGTCAAAAGTAGTACATGTAATGGAAAGTACCGTACAGTACTCTGCAAAGGTATTGTACACACACTAAAAAATTATTGGGCACCCTCGGCTCTGATACACCCCCACAACGATCACCGGTACAGAAGCCGTGATTACGCGGTGTGGTCGGTACCCCTCTCTCTGTGTGTACGTACAGAGAGAGAGACAACACGGCTGTTTGATTATATTCTTGTGATAAGAAAGAACTTATATAAGTAAATGTACTTGAGGCTGGTGGTTAGTGCAACTCATGTTCCAGAGTATTACCATGGAACTTTTAATATACCCTCAACTAACATAACTTATATAACTTAACAGATTATGGTGTATTTCTCCGGGTGTTAGGTTATGGTGTATTTCTCCGGGTGTTAGGTTATGGTGTATTTCCCCGAGTGTCAAGTTATGGTGTATTTCTCCGGGTGTTAGGTTATGGTGTATTTCTCCGAGTGTCAAGTTATGGTGTATTTCTCCGGGTGTTAGGTTATGGTGTATTTCTCCGGGTGTTAGGTTATGGTGTATTTCTCCGAGTGTCAAGTTATGGTGTATTTCTCCGAGTGTTAGGTTATGGTGTATTTCTCCGAGTGTCAGGTTATGGTGTATTTCTCCGAGTGTTAGGTTATGATGTATTTCTCCGAGTGTTAGGTTATGGTGTATTTCTCCGAGTGTCAGGTTATGGTGTATTTCTCCGGGTGTTAGGTTATGGTGTATTTCTCCGGGTGTTAGGTTATGGTGTATTTCTCCGGGTGTTAGGTTATGGTGTATTATTCCGGGTGTTAGGTTATGGTGTATTTCTCCAGGTGTTAGGTTATGGTGTATTTCTCCGGGTGTTAGGTTATGGTGTATTTCTCCGGGTGTTAGGTTATGGTGTATTATTCCGGGTGTTAGGTTATGGTGTATGTCTGCGAGTGTCAGGTTATGGTGTATTTCTCAGGGTGTTAGGTTATGGTGTATTTCTCAGGGTGTCAAGTTATGGTGAATTTCTCCGAGTGTCAAGTTATGGTGAATTTCTCCGAGTGTCAAGTTATGGTGTATTTCTCAGGGTGTCAGGTTATGGTGTATTTCTCAGGGTGTCAGGTTATGGTGTATTTCTCAGGGTGTCAGGTTATGGTGTATTTCCCCGAGTGTCAGGTTATGGTTAACTTATATTATTCACACAATAACACAACCTAAAGTAACTACAGTACAATAAAAGATGTTATGTGATCAAACTCAATGACTAGAACATTTCCTTAATGACATAAGGGAAAAATGCCATCTAGTGGGTTATGTCGACCTTGATACTGATCTTCATGATTTTCGCGTTTTATTCTGTCCTTATATGCTGTAAAACGTGTAGATAACTTGGTTATTTCGTATAGTTTCAGTAGATTAGAGGTGACAGTACTTTTGGCCTTACCTGAATTATACCGAGAAAACATTATTAAGCAACGTTCATAACATTAGTGACTGTTGACTGGTCTTATATAACTCTTAACACCACCAATACTACTATATTATGAGATATAAATCTGTGCTTACCAAATACTGTGTCACTTAGGTCTACCCATGTCGTCTGCCATATTGACACCTGCAGCCTTTGTCTCTGATTGGTCAGTCGCTGGACTACTGAGTTATGACGTCATAACCCGCATTTTAGGAGTTTAAGTTAAATCATACCGGAGCATAATACTGTACTTATAACAATATGCTTAAGGTTTTAATTATAAGTAACATAAGAATATAATATTGATACACTGTCATAATACAACACTTTTTTTTTTTACAAATATTCAAATGTGCAATGTCTGATTTGACATGGCTTTTTATACATATATTTGAGAAATTACTCATTTGATAGAAACGCCATAAAATCTGGTTAAAGAACCCACAAGTTCAGAAAATTTTCAGGACAAACTTTTTCGTGGTGAGTGTTGTGACTTACTTTATTCTCCCCGCCACTGGTCACAAGGTCATGTCCTTGTTTGGCACTGTTGGCAAATACTGGTTCAGGATGATTCTGTGCCTGCACCAGTGTGATGAGTGGCATACAAGATAAACTCACTCTCATTAACTACTGGACTATCCATAAATTCCATAATTACTGATGTATTACACAATGAGCATTTAGGTCATGGGGTGTCTACAATTATAAAACTTAGATTATATTAGATTGATAAAAATTCGGCAATTGGTTGCCAATTTTGTCATTAGTGCAATAACGTGGATCACTGTAGTTAAATAACCAAAACAAAATATATCATTAATTACAGTGTCCACAGCAAATGGTTTGAATACAAGTAAAGGTCCACACTATTTGCATTATTTCGCCAATTAATTTGGTTTGTCAAAGCAAACAACAACATTTTACAAATAAATGATAAAGAGTACTGTACTGTTTACTTAAAAGTGAGTGTAGAGGATTCCTTGGATATTTAGTTTAGTTTACGATGAGAGAAATATACTATATGGTTGTGGTAAAGGCTCATCCAACAGAAAACGTGACAACAACAAACACCCTACATCAACATGGCTCTGGGTGCAGCTCCAAGCTTACTGCTGAGAAATGGTAGTGATGTGATTGTTGCCTCTTCATAAGATTTATAAAAGTTATTGTTGAAACATGAGATATTTTATAAGTGGATTTTCAAAAATGGTTTGCAAATGAACAGTCCCTACTGTTGCTATAGGTAGATCTTACCCATTTCTATCACTATCACTTTTTCATATGGCATTTATATCGCAAATTACATATGTAAGCCAGATATTTAACAACTTGGCAATGTCTGAGAACAGCACTACCTTCAGAAGTTGTTCGATTTCATTATTTTTTGCTATTTTATTATAGTATCTTAAAAGAAGTAACATTTATTCATTTTTATAGCATTTTTGCCCCTTATCAGCTTAATACCCGTTTGGGTGGGTCTATCCAGTGTTAGTACAGGAGGAAACCGGGGACCGGATAACCTGTGATGTTTGGTAGTGAGGTCACACTGGATAACACCCTTCTCACATGTGTCCAGGGTGAGGCCTGAACCCTTGACTAATTATTTGTGACTTAAACAGCCACTGATTTTTCATTGATAACGAATTCGAAAATGCCGCAATTTCACTGTGTTTTATAGTGGACACTGTCGTGGTTATGGCAAATATGTTAAAAGTGTTTATTTAAAAGTTCAAGTTTACCTAATCTAACCTAACCTTAACCTCGCATAACTTAACACCTGCCGTGGGCAGACTTACTGTTACTGAGATGGGGGGGGGGAAGTCACTGTGAAGTCCTCCATATTAGCCCCCTTGACATAATGGTGAGAGTTACGTGTATTACCACTGTACCACCAACAAGGTAATGGAACCTAATAGAACCTGACCTATCCAACCAAAGAAAGCTACCTAACCTTACCTAACTTCCTAGCCGCCATATAAAACAGAAAGTACTTGTTATAATATCTGGTACCAATGAAAGCAACTTTGGTGAAGTGTCCCGGTGTAATTTTACCTTTTTTTGTGGACGTGAGTGTACTGTATGCTCAGACTGAGCTGGTCAGTTGTAAACAAGCAGACGACACGCATTGGCTCGGCAGATTTTTGGAGGAGTATTTACGGCAAATAATTAATTTCTTCACATACAGAGCACATAGATTCATCATTTCAGTGCCACATGATCAGTTTTTCTTCGTGTTTTACCCTGCAATTTCACTCATCCTTCATGGCCTGCCCACTACAGGTGATTTATGATCGTAGATAGAGAAAAACAAGAATGTATATATTTAAAATAAAAAGTTGTCACTACTTTTAAAATGTTGGTACATGATAAGAACATCTCTGGAAAAGAATAGTATGGCAATCAGGCGAGGTGCGTCTTATTGAACCAATTGACGGGCTTGATTCTTAGCTTCTGGAAATATTTCACAAGTGTATGGGTATAGGTGGCATTAGTGATTAAATATGAATCATAATGGCTCCTGTGTGTGACGGCTGCAATCGCGAGGTTTTACGATATTAATTCAGACTTAGTGGCATTTCTTTGCTCTCACACTGTCCAGTCTGCGGGATGCTGTTGAAGATATGACGAAAGAAGAGACAAGAGCATTGTGTACTGCATCGTTCTGTGCCAAACTTTTGAATAATTTCATAGATTTTCAGAATTTTTTTAATAGTAAAAACTTCTTCCAGAACGATGAACACTGTAATGAAACAGCTTTCTAAGCAGTAAACCTGTATCCACTTGAGTGCATCAACATTTATTTTTCTTTATTTTCAGGTGCCATGAGAAGTATTACAACAAGATGTCTGTCAGTCACACCCTGTGTACTAGGAAAATTCCCCAAAAGGTATACTTTTTTTTGTATCATATTCTCAGAGGATTTGTAAAATTCCTTTAAATTATAGAATGAATCAAATGTTGTGATCTGTAGAGCTCATTAATCCCATGATAGAGTCACATTGTTGGCCTCTTATAAAAAGACTCCCAATTGAGTAATGTAATTTCAGCATATATTGTAACCAGGAACCCTTATGATCTTAAGTCAAATTATAAAAAGACAAAGACAGTTCCAGAACCACCCAAAAAGGAAACACAAGACTCACTATTCCACACCAAGGAAAAACCTGAGTACACCCTGTACTGTATGGGGAAAACCCACACATTATCCTTCCCATGCAAATTAACTACTGTGTAGTACTCTACGGTAATATGACAATATTAAACTTTTGCAGTCAAGTTGTCTTACATGCATGACCCAGGAGAATTCTGGCATCCTTAGTCTTTCTTCAAAGAAACACCTGACGTCAATCCTTAGATGAGGTGCACAGCAAGGGCAGTGTTCATCTCCTACCTGGATGTGATTATTATGCTTTGAATTATATAGAACTGTACTGTATTAAAAGTTTGGAAGATTAATTTTTCCTTTAGTTCTCCCCTCTGTACTAGTTGGCCTAAGTGGCTGAGTTGCCAGATCCATTGCATAATATATATTTGAAGAATAATCCTGAAATCCCATTTTATAAGTATGGATATGGTAACTCAGATCCTTCCTTCCTCCCTTAGAGTGCTGAGGCGAGCTGGAACTTTGTTGGCTTAGTAGTGTTTACCAGTTTGCAGTGACAGAGGCTTTATTGGCATGAAACTGAAGATAGTGATGATGGTGTAGATGTTGATAGGATTGGTTCTGGAGAATCTGGTGAGGTGGAGGGAACTGGTTCTGTAGATGCTGCAGAGGTGGATGGGACTGGTTTTGGCTGCCTTTTGACTTTCTTAAAATGAAACTTGTCGAGGGATGATTGAACTGAAACCTTTTCATCATCAATTTCTCTATAGCAGAATAGATACTCAGTAATACCTCTATGAATCTTGGTAAATCTTGCTGTGGAAATTTAAACAATCTTTCTTTTGTAATGAATCACTTTGGTTCTGGAGTTTCAGCTTCCTCTACATCCTCTGACAAAATTTACTTCTCCAGTTCAATCACTTCCTCATTGCTGAATTCTTAAGCATGAGACTCGAGCCCCTACTAGCAACAGAATCTTCCCCATCACTTTCACCACCATGTACAGCCTTCAAGTCAGTGTGCAAACTTCTTGCTTTTTCCAGAATCAAGGCTAGATTTTTTATATTCCACCTATATCACTAACAATCTTTCCATTTCAATTATCAATCCACTTCTTTGTTTTGTTCTCACAGTTGAGTACATTGGTGTAGATCCTATTACATGTTCAAGAATTTTCTGTTTGTCTTTCAAAATTATTCCGATCGTTGACCGAATGAAGCCCAATGCTTTACCAATGACCGAGGGTGTTTCGCCCTTTTCAGAACGTTTTCCCTTTCTTAGATGCACTACTATCACTTGTATGAGGGAAGAAAAATAGTTAATAAGCAAAAAACCTACAGTTTGCACTTGATCACACAGGCTGGGTGGTGCAAACTAGTTCTCGTACGTTAGTACTACAAACCAGATGTACCTGTTGGATTCTTAAAATAATTGACCTTATGGGACCTAGTTTGTATCGGCGGTGTTCGTAAGTCGGACATTCATAACTCTGGGACCCCTGTACAGTATATGCGTGTTAGTCTGGCAGTCAATGGCTTAACTGCCGAATTCATAATTGATATCTCTCAAGCTAACCCTTTTTATGACTGATGGTTATTCAGGGAAGATGGACTACCAGTATTTTTGGGGAATTTAATTCATGTCACACATGCAGGATTGCAGGGGGTCCTGGGAAACCTGGTTGTGAAACATTGTACAGTGCAGTATACAGGCATCCCCCGCGTTACGGAAGGGTTCCGTTCCCGGAACATTGACCGTATCGCGAAATTACGTAACACGAAACCTATATTCCCATTGACTTCCACTATAAAACTGGAGATGCGTTCCTAAGGAATTTTTTCGGCTCCAAAAAAGTAATTCAAGCACTTTTATTAATGAAAATAAACATTTATAAACACATACAATACAGTACATTAAATAATTTATGATATACCTTCTTAAAACACCAATTTAGGGGTTAATATTGCATTATACAGCTACGTGTATGTTTATTTGAGTGCCCCGTCATAGGAGTCCGTTTTCTCTCACTTCAGCACTCCTGAGTCGTCCGTTTTCTCTTAATCTTAGAGTACACCAGATACTTTGTTATTTCTTAGTAGTGACACAGAATTTGATATTGCAACTGGGGTTGCAATTGTTGAGGCAACTTAGGTCGATTACAGTTGGAATATTCAAGATCCATTGTGAGTGATGTTTAAAGCTTCAACTGTCTTTATGGTTGGTAAAACTTGTCAAGTCTGTCAGTCTGAATGGCATGTGTGAGGCCTTGTGTTTGTTAAAATTTACCCCAATTTCCGTAAGGGCGGACATACGGGCCGTAACGCGAAATTATTGGTCATAATTTACAAATTCCGTAAGAGCAAAATTCCGTAACCCGGGCTTCCGTAACGCGGGGGATGCCTGTATTAGTCACCGAATCCATGCTTGGTTATAACATGGGATTTCAGGATTACTCCCTCATTTTTATCTTGTGCAATAAATTTTCATCTGTGGTATGATGTGTATGGCGACCTGTAGTGTAATGGTCAACATGCTCGTCTAGCAAGTGAGTGGTCTCGGGTTCAGTCCCCGGGCAGGGTGAAATTATGGGTAAGTTTCTTTACGTCATTTGCCTCAGTCTACCCAGCAGTAATTAGGAACCTGGTTATTAATAGGTTTGCAGATTGTGCTCAGGGTAATGGTTAGCCAATGGAGTTTATGAGTTACCTGTCTTCTTGGACTATTCCTTGACACTGGGTCATAACTTAGGGTGTGGTTGTTGTGTTGGCGACAGCTTCTACACCTTAAACAAATTTGTGCCTCGGTGGCCCTAGGGCTGGCCATCCTCAGACACAAAGGGCAACCATTATTGTGATTTAGAATTCTATGTACCTGTACAGAAATGTAAGCAAAAAATAACTGGGATGAGATTTCTTTATTAATGAAAATTTGTTCACCAATTTTTAGTTTTGATACATCAATGGGAGCACACGGACCACTGATAAATGGACCTGATTACACATTCCTTGATGGACGACCTACTCCACTTCGTATTGGACAAAGGAAGAGAGCTCTGAAGCAGCGGGAAGTCTCGGTGTGTAACATTACAAAGTACTGCATATAGGATAGTCAGGGAGGGAGGGAAAGTGGTGGTGTATGGGAGAGAAAACTTAACAGAAAAATGAACGAATAATCGAACACAAAAATTCAGAAATTGACGATAATTCGGATGACCCAGGGCCCCACTTCCAGAAATATAATTGTAATCACGTCTACATTACAACTCATCTCTCTGGGAGCGGAAGTAATGCAGCAGTTTATGTAAATAAACAATAAACCTCCATATACCCTATAGTTGTTTTTCATTAATTTTCTGTTAATAATTGCTTATGCTATATCATATTGATTTTCTAGCAGCCCAGAGTGCTTTAGAGTTAGCGTGAGGTGTATAACTATTGGGGCAGAGGTTACGGGAGTGGTAGCTCCCCCAAGGCTGTGACCACCCATGGTTCAGCAAAGTAACTGGTCCGGCATCGATCCAGTCTCGATGATACCGGAAAATTGGTGGTTGATCTATATTAGTTATTGGCTTAGTGTTTTATACTGTTCACTTTTTCCAGTCTCATCCATTTTCTCATAAGTACAGGTGCTCCTCTACTTAAGAACGTTCAACTTACAAACATCATCACTGAGGGGGGGGGTTACCTGCCATAACAGGTGTTTAATGTGGACGAGACTGGATTATTTTGAAGAAAATTCCAGATAGAAGAAACATTACCTAAGAGGAGAATAGTGAGCCAGGTTTTAAGGCTGTATTAAAGGGTATAGCTGTACTAAATATCCATAATCTTTTCATTTTTTACAATATGTTTGGTATCTACAAGAGTAAAGTTGAACTTATAAACAACTGGACAGTAAAAACAAGCCTCAGGAACGTAACTTGTTCGTAAGTAGAGGAGCCCCTGTACAGGTATACAATTATTAATGTACAGTATAGGTGTATTGTACTGCATGTATTTAACTTGCTCTGTTTGTTAATGGCTTATAATCATTGCATAAACCAAAAATTTATGGGGTCTTGTAGCTTTTTTTAATAGAAATTTATCTCGGCTTTTGCAGTGAAAGTCTATGGGAAAATGTGGTTCGATATACAAAAAATCATTTTACGAATTTTTCAGGAACCAAACTCTTTTGCAAATCAGGGAATGCCTGTATGTCTTGTTTTAAATATTTTGTAAATTTAACAGTTAAATCAGTTTGTTTTACATATTGCATGTTATATTGAACTAAAAGCATTATTTTTACCACAGGCTAAAGTGTTGCAACTATTGAAAGAAACAAAGTTTGCCATTGAGCACCACAAAAAACTCCAGGATGAAGAGCAGCAGAAGAAACACGATATTCTTGCCAGTAAACTCAAACCCAAGGGCCAAGCATTACTACATAAATAGAAAACAAGTTAGTGAAATAAGTTTGCATTATACTTACCTGTGACATTTTATACTGAACTGGAATCCTGCATAGTGTACTGTATCTGATAACCAACATCCTTAGATGAAGAGGTTTTGTGGAAACTTTCAATCATTTGTATTATTTGTATGTACAATGATTTATGCTATTGTGTAATACTATTCATGTTTGCTTCTTTAAGAGCAGTGATACATATAGCCTAAATTTACCGGTAATGCAAGAGTTATACTAAAGTGAGAGGTGAGCTCTGATGTTTTATCTATCAGATTAAAATGGTAAAAGTTTGTTTACTAGTTTAAGAATGTATAATGATTCATGAATAAATCTCATTAATTTATGAACATAACATTTCTGTATACTGTGCTTTATACTACTATAGCTGATCAATTAATAGGAAACTAGGTTAGGCAGTTGCATATTTCATAGTGAATATTTATTTCTGTATATGATGTAAATATAAATTAAATAGTAATAAAAAAAAAACAGGAAAATTATAGACATTTGAATTACCTAGATGCAACATGCTTGCAGAACATGCCTATTTTACTACCCAAATCTTTTTAGGATTAGCCTACCTTTGTCCCTGTAGTACCCCGCTTGTGACAGGTACGGATGATGATTTCGTGCCATTAATCACCACACACTGCTTGTGGTCGTGTAGAAAGTCTTCTATCCGTGCTAGGACTTTTCCCCAAATTTCGTACCCTTTCAGTTTGATTTTCAGCCTTTCGTGGGGTACACTGTCGAAAGCCTTGGCAAAATCTAGGTAAACATTGTCAATATTACCACCCCGTTCCAGAATATGGGTCCAAATATCCAATACTTTGAGCAATTGTGTAAAGCAGGAGCGCCCCTGCATAAAACCCTGTTGGCAATCCTTTACAAGGCTGTTTCGGAGATGTTCCATCGCGGCATCTCAGATAATAATCTCAAGTACTTTACATATTATGCTGGTCAGGCTCACCGGTCTATAGTTGTTTGTGGAGTGACGATCGCCCTTCTTGAAGATAGCCTTGTTTGAGGCTGTGAAATTCAACATTATCTGGGATATATCTACTGCATCTGTATACACTATCTGGCTGCTGGTAAACAGTGGTGGAGGCTGGTAAGTGGCAAAAGGGATTGTAATAATAATTTTGTTGCTCACTATACACCATATGCCTGCATTGTCTGCTCATGCTGAAGTGTATACCAGTCCAATTGTAACCCTGTATGACAATTTTACTGAATAAATATTATTAAAATTCAAAGTATGTCTATATTATTTTAAGTTAATATTTTTGTATGTACAGTAGAGTGGTTCCTCATTGCTTCTTTCTTTTTCCCAATTTTGACGATGGATATTGTTTATGCGAATAATTGTTCAGATGCTAGTGCTATCATAAATTTATCAGTGCCTTACTGCTCAACTTATATGTTCTTCCTTCGTCTAAAATTAGAAAAAAAACGAGATTAAATCAGTTCAATTAAGTTAATTCCCTGAACATTTTTAGTGTTATTGACCTCATTAGCACCCTCACTTCCAGTGTTGCAATCTCAAAAAGCTTAATGTTTTTCTTTGCACATTATTCTATTTTCTTTTTTAGCTTTCCTTGGCAGATTGTTGGTATCATTATGTGCTACCTTTAAAGTAATCCTTGCCACACTAGATCATCCTATGAATGGTGGATCATGTACACAACTATTGTACAGTCCATAAAAAATCCTTTCTATTGTGGCAACAATTTTGCTTCTCCGTTATACCCAGGCACTCCTATGCCTACTGTCGTTCCAAATGTTCACTAACTACAGTATCCCACTTCATTTATTTTAAAGTTTTCCCAGCAGTCACTGGTATCTTTAGTCCTAAGAACAGTGAATCACAACCATGGATAGGCTTAATCTAAATCTTCTATACAATATGTCGTGACATGTGATACTAACCTCTTTGGTTGTATTTACACAGCTTGGCTCTACATTAATAATAAGGGTAAGACAAAGATAATAAATCACGTGGCAGTTTATTGCAAAAATAAAAATTTTCCATCCCACTTACTTTGGCTACCCTAGCCAATATGTGTCTATAAACGCTTTTACAAACATTGAACAACAATATACAAGGCGGACAGAGCAAGCTACGAGCCCCGTGGATTATCTATGCTAATGTACATTAGGTGTGTTGGGGGAGTACTAGATCTTGTACATGACTTATAAATGTCATAGCTGACCCTAACATTCACAAGCTAAACCAAATTCTGTCTGTGTTTCGAGGTTTTTATCTTGTAATCCAGGAATTAACCTTCTCATATTGATATTTTTATCATAACAAAGTACATACTGTGTAATGTCATTCCAGCATGAAAAAATATATAAAATAAAATACACACTCTTAAGAAGTCGCTTCCCTGTGTCATGTACTGTAAGAAACTGAACTTCTGAAAATTAAAATCTGTTTTCCAATGCTTAATTATCAATCAGCCGTTAAAAGTAATATATAAATTTTTTTAGATCATGAGAAACTCAAAGCTTCTCTTCAATAAGCATTTTTAATGGACCAATAGAAGCAGAAGAGAACACAATTTGATACAAAAAGTTATTATAAGCAGCTCCACTAATCAATAAGAGATAAATAAATACTATAATAATTTGTATTATGAAAAACTGTACAGTATACTCTATAATAATAACCTTACAGGTGATACTGAAAAGAAACAAGATATAGAGAAATAGTATGATTTTTTTTAATAATAATAATAATAATAATAATAATAATAATATATACTGTATAGCGCAATGAGGTCAAATATCTTTCATTTATGAGTGCAGAATATTCAATAAGAACTAATATTAGTAACTAATATTCAGGATGTAGTATTGTAAAAGGGTACACTACCATGTATCATCTCTAAATAATAGAAGGGAGAAACCACAGTACACTACAGTATAAACTTTGCTCCAGTATCAGACAAATTGCATCACAATCTAGTACATAAAAATTCTACAATATTTTATATCATGTGTATATTGAATAAAATATTTGTTACAGTGATTCAATTGAATTATTCATGACTGTATTAATAATGAGAATCATTTTTTGTGGTAACTATGAAGTCTTAGCCAGTATTGTCTTGAAGGTCCATATTATCTAAGCACTAAATCTGCTTATACTGTATTTGTTAACTTTTTTTACATTATGATAAAACTCATGCTTTTATCATTGACAATTTACAAGTAACCAGTGAGCCAGGAACATACCGGTAGTGCTCTTTCAGGGTTGCTCTCCTCTAATTCAATGAAAAGAGCTTTATTAAACCCAATCAAATGTGGCAATTAACACAGTTATAAAGGATGACTATATGAGGGCTATGCTAGCTTGCTATACAGTACAGTACTCCTTATCCTCAGTTCCCATTTCAAGAGTGTGCGCCGGTTTTGGTGCTACTTTCGATTCCGAGTCAGTGTCATAAGGATGATGTGATAAATCTTTTTAACAGGAATCATCCTTTATTTTCTGAAGTGACCGCTGACTTCTCAAATAAAGCCTGATCCAGATCTATTTTACTTTTCGTTTGGTAGATCAAATACATATCACTACAGTACTTAAGTATCGGTCTCGATACTTTATTAATTCCACACTGTTAAATTTTAAGGTCATATTCTTTTCTAACCACTATAATTGTAATAAAATTTCCACACCATTTTCTTTATTTTCATAAAAATGCATCATAAAACACTTGTATTTACTTCTGTTGTACTACACTGACCATAAATCAGAGATGACCAGGAAAATAAGGTAACAGAAAAAGTCAAAATTTTGGCTAGGTGAGGTTTAGTTAGGCGTCTTTTTTCTGCTACGTTTTTTCCTTGATTCAAATCAGATGTCTGCAAAGCCTCGATGAGCAAGGTTTCACACTCATTGCAATTGTTTACATAATCTCATTTCTTCATACAGAAGTTCAGATTATCTCAGAGATGTGTTTTAAAGACTGCCTTTTCAATGTAAAACTAAGGAATGGTACTGTTGTTTCATGCTTAACTCTGTGAATGTTATTCAATTTATCAGGGGAATATCATGGAGTGTTTATAAAATATGGTAGCTAAGAATATAGAGGCTACTTAAATTAAGAGTACATACAGTACTGTACATATGTTCTGGTCATACAGTGTATAATCACCATCAATGGTTATCCAAGTTCACATCATAATGAAACTGACAATATCTTTTCTATCTCTTTGTAAACAAAAGTAAGTATAAATTGTAATGCTATCAGCCTAAATAAAAATACAAATCAAATGTTACGACTGGAAATTGGAACAATTGTAACCCCATCCAACTCTTCCTAATTCTTTTACTGTATAGTATTAATTTTCTTAATTATTACAAGTTTTGCAGACTAACAGAAAATATACTTTTGTAGTTGTTGAGCAGACGAAGCTGTGAGTACATGAAAGCTACTGTACATATTTAAACAATATGTAAACTCATACTAAGACTTATGTGATGCTTTCCTAAATATCTAACAATACAACATGAACAATTATTGGCACTACAATTATCAGAAAACATATGATTATTTATTCATGTTGAATAATCAAGTCACCTTCAGACAGCCAATCAACAATGATAAAATCAATCCTTCCCACAACCAAATATCTTTCAATCTTAGGTTTCTTAACTGAAAAAAGCTTTCACACAAACCAGAAATGGGCCAGAAAAATTCATGTCGTGTGTCTACATGTCTGCATTTTTGTGAAGAATGGTATGCAATAAATAAATGTACACTTATTAAAGAATCAGAGAAAAATTGATTGGTATATGAAATAGCAAACATACTGAGGCACGGCCAAACATTTATAATATATATATATATATATATATATATATATATATATATATATATATATATATATATATATATATATATATATATATATATATATATATATATATATATATATATATATATATATATATATATATATATATATATATTAGTCAACCTCAATTTTACGAGTTAATATTAACCCACAGTACCGCGAAAGTGGTAAAACGATAGTGAACAACATAACATATGGGATTAATTGGAATAGAGACCGGCTTGACCCCCAAACTCCACTTTTGGATTTACACACAACTATGTTGTAGTTAAAATTTTATCTTAACTTTATGATGGTATGCACACACAATTAATAATTAAGAGAAATATCAATAATATTAGGTTTTTTAACACTTACATTAGTAGAAGCATGGCTGGGCACACGGAGCTGGGGGTTGGTTCCGAGGCAGAGGGCAGATTATAAGCCCTCACCTGTATCACTTGTATCAATTGTATCATTATCCACCACAGAGGCTTGCAGGGCCTCTTTGTCAAACCCCTCAAAGTCCATTTAAGTCCATATCCTCACTAAAATTATCATTATCACTGACTTGGGCCGGCTGTGGTGGGTGGCGGGTGAAGAACTCGGTAATGTTTTGATGACTGGGCGACCTTGTGCGCACCCTGCTCGCGCC